CCCTAAGCCCTAAACCCTAAACCCTAAACCCTAGACCCTAAACCCCAAACTCCAAACCCTAAGCCCTAAACCCTAAACCCTAGACCCTAAACCCTAAACCCTAAACCCGAGGTTTAACTGTTGGTTGAGGTTCACAAAGAGTTGTGCCTAGCAAGCTGGGAGTCCGGGTCTTCCGGGAGAATGGTCTGGTACTATTGGAGCCTAAATAATTACCAACTACTCTGTTTTTTTTTTTTTTTTTTTGGGGGGGGGGGGGTAGGGCTTAGTTTAGGGTTTAGGGTTTAGTTTAGGGTTTAGGGCTTTGGAGGTTGGTTCCTTACTATGACGTTCGTTTAAGATGCTCCAAAACCCTACTCTAATTATTAAACTAAGGCTTCCACATTAGGTGGGGGGTGTCATGTGATCTGGTGCATTGTACGGTTTAGGGTTGGGGGGCTTAGGGCTACTAGCTGACTCTGTGAGTGCACAATGTACTCACTGTCACCTTGATTAATGTCACTATCCCCGAGAGCCAGAGTCACAAGCTCAAGATTTCACAAGCCTCAAACATGAAGACGCTGAACTCTGAATACGTCCCAAAAAAAACCTGCTTAGCTTTAAACTTCTAAACCCTAAAGCTGAAACCCTAAATTTGTCACCTAAAGGCCCTCAAAAGAAAAAAACGACTAATCGGTCCTTGAATCCCTTTTTGAACCGGAAGCCGCGATTCGATCCCCAAGCCCCATCAAGGCTAGAGAATTCAGGGTTTAGGGTTTGACGTTTAGGGTTTGGAGTTTAGGGTTTAGGGTACTAAATCCTAAGCCCTAAACTCCCTAAGCCCTATATAAATTAGGTTTTACATAAAGCCTCTGAGCCTGAGGCCAATGTCACCCATGCAGGGAAGGGCACGTTGCCCAGCGAGTGGCTACGTAGGAGAGATCGGGCTCAGGGTGTCGGGTTCGGGAGTCTTTACGTGGGTAGCTCTCTAGGCTTTGGATGTGGGTTTAACATTATGGTAGCCTTCTGAAGTAGGCTTTTGACCTTTGAGAATTTCTAGTCAGCTGGCACGGGTGGGGCCTGAGAGTAGTATAGGGGCCTAAATAATTACCAATACTATTTATTAGGGCCCGAATCGCCCCCACCAGCGGGGGAATATCGAGGAGCCCCAGGACAGTAGTCCGCAGTGAGCCATCGCGGTGCCGTCTTCTCCTTCCTGGCATAGGCGCCGGCGTACAAAGCGAGCTAAGACTCGCGCTGCACTTCGGTCAGGCAGGCCGATTTCGTGCAGCCGTTTGATAGCCCTTGCTGGGCATCACTCGACCTGTCACTCTCTGCGAGGCGTCATTTCTCAACGGATGGGCAAGCAGGCGCGGCCATGGCATACCAACAACGCCAAGTCCCAATCCAAATGGGGCTATTGGCGTGGATCATGGCATTCGCCCTCGCGGTCGGGACGTCAGCAAGAGAGTGGACAAGGAGCAGTTCAGGCCCCCTTTCCCGCCTACGATGCCGTGCCGAGCAATCCGAGTGGAATCACGGAGATCTCGGAAAAGCGGATTTCTACTGGGCCCCAGCAAGGTGGAAGGACGTTGGTTCAAGCCGTCCAAGCTGCTGTGAACCATACCCGGAAATTGGATGCGCGTGCAGCACGACTGGAGCGGGACCTCCAGACCAGACGGGAGTGTTGGGCCCGTTATGTTACGGGGCTCAAGCAGAGCCTTCGACAGGAAAAACTGAGATTCCAGCAGGACTGTGCGAAGTTGGAGGCCGACCTGCAGGATGCCACCGCGCAGCAGACAGCTGCACATTCCCAGCTCAGCGCGATCGTCCCGGAGTTGTCACAGGCCTACATGGAGACAGACGACTGGGCTACTGGCACAGGAGATGCCAGCTCTGCCACTGGAGACGAGGGAAGTGTTATGCAGGAGCTCAGCAGACTTATTGCTGCCGCGAAGCCAGCGGCTACAGTGGCCGTGGACAGGGGCCCCCCAGGCCTCCTGGCGCCAGCCACTCCCGACAGCAGACCCAAGCGAGGTGCGCCGCTTACTCCGCCAGCAGTGGCCCCAGCTCTTGTGGATCCTTATATCTCCTCCCCTTCCCAGATATCCCTTGCTGGAGGTATGGGAAGCACGCCAGCCACGGAGGTGCCAGCCAAGCTTCCGGGATCACATGCATCGCCGGTAGTACA